GCATCTCTCCTTTTCCATGCCGCACGCTGGAAGTTTCTCGCTGCCGTATCTGTAACTTCTCCAGGCAGTGTCTCTTTTCCCTTGACAATATCCGTTAGATTGTTATAATCGAAAAGGGTCCTCAATTGAAACTTCCACGATTGGAAATTCGTATTATCGAACTTCACAATGTTACGTAGCGATATGTCCTCAGTAGCCATCTTTCACACAAAAATTATTTGTTCCGAATAACTTGCAAAGGAAACGATTTTCACACTCATGTGAATTTCACCACATGTTGTAATAATAGCTATATTCTTGGTCTATTCATCAAAGACACATTTATTAGAGATACACTGTTCAAAGAACTGAAAGTATATTCAACTATTTGGAAGTACAATTAGATAAACATTTAATTCTATAAATTGAAAGAATACCACAACAAATATTGTTTACACTCAACAAAATATATCTCATACACAGGATACAATTTTGAGTACTTCTTAGTAGGAATAACAAATATCCGATATCATACGTTTTCACAGATATTACCTTAATTACAGTTGTATTATAAAATTATCTCACACGGATTATTACATCAAGATTCTGTCGCGATGATGAGCTCACCATATTCTATTTTTTCGCTTGGTATATAAAAAAAGGACGACCAAGCAATTGCAGATCGTAAAAACATCTTTCTGCTGTTCACGCACGCGTTCTCAAACAAACTTGGATTAAATTATATACTCTAACATCACAGAACGCAAACTATCCACAAAATATCACTCAGTTACGCGACCTGGGCCCATAACCTGTTGAAATCGTTAGATATTTAATAACACTAGTTAACGCTATCGTTGTGGCTACAGCCGGTTTCTTACTACCGCGGGACGACCACGCACGGCAGAACCAAGGTGAACACGTGAACCCGACGTGATAAGCACATATGAGTCCCAAACCTGACCACCAGCGGTGCTTACATGCCGATACATTGAGAGTTCTAATTTATCCCAACAATGATAACTGGTACTGCGAAAGTATGATTTCCTAACCTGCAAATAGTCATTATAATATTAAAATTAAATATTAGACAGTAACTGACTGGATGTTCAGTTGAACTGCATAAATTTCTATCAGGACCATATATTGAACAGATGTATTATAGCTATACATCCATGATTATATAGGTGTTCGTGGATCATCGAAGTGCAGCGGTTTCCATACGATTTCAGAAGTCAAGCATAGTGGATGACGATATGTAATCGGATGAGTGACCGTTTCGAAGCGCTATGAAATTTGTTCCCAAATTCAGGGAAAAATGTTTTTTTATCATAATTTTATGATGTGTATTCTGGAATAAGATATTAATCAATAGTAATACTCATATAAGAATCATTTTGTCTTGATTGTAGTCTAAAACTCGTTTAATATATTAATTTAGTTCAGTTTTAATCCATTGCGTCCATTCCTAAAATAAATGTTTTTAAGAAGTCCAAAATGGACTGTATGTTTTTAAAACATTTTTTAAATAATAATAATATGTATTAATTGTGCAATGTGTACAAAATTGTGATTACAAAGAAGAAAGCTAAAACAAATATATAAAATAAAATATAATGCAATACATGTGCACAAAAGGAGAGGCACCAGCAAATCTACTGCCCTAACGCCTATCTGAAATAGAGTAGCAAAATGTAATCAAGAGGTGATAAAAAGTAACACTAAAAAAACAAATACGCAAAACATAATACAATCTTAATTACAATAAAGACAAAATAATAACAAGTGAACAATACGCAAACCTGAATACAGCCTTATATTATAATGAGAAGAAAGACAATAATAAGTATAAAACAATATATGAACGATAACAAATTGAAACATACGATAACAGATTAAATACTGCAACATAAGTGCGAGCGAAACAGCCTCAAAGTGCAAATTAATTTTGTTTATATTATATTGAAATATCCATCTAATCTGAATGTTTTTAATATGTCCAAAACGTCCAACATGTACGTTTTAAATCTATTTTAAAAAGTTACTGTGCTATCTGGGTACAAAAACGACACAATTCAAAAACTATTTTAAAAAAGGCTCAAAAGAATCAATCAATAGTAGCAATAGAAAACAAGCCCGTTAAAGCCAACATCTGTTTTTCGGATGCACAATTTACGTGTGAATTAATAAAAGATTAATTTCGGAAATGATCCATAACAGAGGCAGAGTTTAAATTTACAAAACGACACCTACACGTTGAATCCACTATACTCGGAGTTACTGGCGGAATCGTAACGCGGTGCTTTCCTTTGTCATATTATTGTTGTTCAGTGTCTGTGTGTATTCTATGACTCATTACGTTTCTGACTGTCGTCACCGCATGACGGTTGAAGTCGTTTTTTGAATGTTGGTCCACTGGTACGTTTATAATATAATTAAATTGTAATTCAGTTTTTGAGGATTTGATCAATTGATTTTTGGGTTTTTTTTATTCAAAAAATTTTTCACAGAAAGTCTGTAAACTTGGTTGGACGATGTGTTTTTACTTTTGACACAATGTATAGGACTTTATTTTCAATTTATGTAAGTTAATACTTAATTTTTCTAATCTGACACTAATTTTCTATTTACTATTTTTATTATGTTACATGTTAATATTTCAACTTAGATAAATTGTTGACATAAAATATGATTAACTCATATTTGAATCTTAATTTCAATGGTTCATTCTTAACGTTATGTAATTTGACGATACACTTTATTTATTGCTTTGTATAAGTTTATATTCCTAATGGACACAGTTTCAATATTGTAACTTTGTATTATAGTATTAGTACACTGGGTCTCACTTTAGACAAAAATTGTAATGGTTTAGTTAAAGAACTGTTAAGTCAAAAATATTGTAACCTATATTTAAAGTATTTTACATTGTGATGATTAATTATATTGATATGACGATTTATTATATAGTTAATCTGGTAATTGGATAAAGAAGAATGGACAGAATTGTCATGGAGCATGATATTGGAAGTGAACACTAGCGTTTTAAATTCGATATTGATAAGGACCAAAATGTAATGGTCGAAACGTATATAATTTAATTTATATGATTTGTTTAATTCACACGTAAATAAATTGTGCATCCGAAAAACAGATGGCTTTAACGGGCTTGTTTTCTATTGTTACAATTCAAAACTCTCGTAAAGGTGTTACAAGTACAATTTGACGGACAGACTGTGAAAATAAGTTAGTTTACTTTCGATGAGCGCGATAGTGTAATCTTTATCAAATATATTGCCTCGTATTTTTTAAATTGTGTTATTTTTAAAGTAACAGAACGGTATGTAGATACAGCACACGTTAAATGAGTTAGTGAGGAGGAAATCCTTTGCCGCTTACGTATGTACACTACGCGCAGAAATTAAAGCATCACCTCTCACACCTTCGAAAAATGGGTAAAGTTCAAAGGAGTGTAACTTCTTCATAAATGGTCAAAATGAGATTTTAAAAAAAGCATTTTGTAGCTTGAAATCTCTACTTTCCAAATCTGTATAATGAAATAACGAATCGGCTGATTTTTACGGAACTATAATACATGATTATAAAGGAAGATCAATAAAATCTCAAAATTTTTTGTAAATTTTGCACAGTTTCATGCCGTGAATGAGAAATCAGGCACAAATACAATTCACAGCTTTCGAAAGCGTGATCCTTTACCTTTAATTTACTTTTTTTTTATCTCTACGATTTTTTTTTACCGAATTATTCAGCATTGAAGTAAAAATGGTCCCTTTGACTTTGACTGCTCATAAAAGACGAACGGAGTGGCATACAGTATTTTTAAAAAAAGCAAAAAAAAGTTCAAAGTTTTTTCTTTAAGATGCTTTTATCAATTTTTAGACACAGATAAGCTTTTTACGTAAAAAATTAAGTAAAAAGTATAATTGAAAACTAAGACAATTATCTGTTTCTATTCAACTCGATCTATTCTGATCACAAAGAGAGAGAAACCCTATGATATTAACGTAATTTTACATTTTAGGGTCTACTGATTTCAACGAGACTCATACAAAACAGTTGCGATATTTTAAAACTAATGTCCTTCATGTTCGAAGTTACGATTTTGGGCAAGACGACATTTGCTGATTTGAATTTAATCTTATATCGCAGCATGCAATCACACCGCAGATTGAGCGCCGTAACATAAGTAAGTTGGCACGCTTGCCAGGCGATCTTCTCTAATCTTTACTACGCGCTACGGAGTACTTCAAATGTATTGCGCGCTCAAAGCACTAAACACTTTTGATTTCTCTGCCAAAGAGAAGCAGATTGGGAATACTTAAGTTTTTACATAAAAAGCTTATCTGTGTCTAAAAATTGATAAAAGCATCTTAAAGAGAAAACTTTGAACTTTTTTTGCTTTTTTTAAAAATGCTGTACATCACTCCGTTCGTCTTTTATGAGCAGTCAAAGTCAAAGGGACCATTTTTACTTCAATGTTGAATAATTAAAAAAAAATCGTACAGAGGTAAAAAAAAAAGTAAATTAAAAATAAAGGATCACGCTTCCGAAAGCTATGAATTGTATTTGTACCTGACTTCTCATTCACGGCATAAAACTGTGCAAAGTTTACAAAAATTTTGAGATTTTTCGAATCTTTCTTTATAATATCATGTAGTTTCGTAAAAATCAGCCGAATCGTTATTTCACTATACAGATTTGGAAAGTAGAGATTTCAAGCTACAAAATGCTTTTTTGAAATCTTATTTTGACCATTTATGTAGAAGTTACACTCCTTTGAAGTTTACTCATTTTTCGAAGGTGCGAGAGGTGATGCTTTAATTTCTGCGCGTAGTGTATTTTGCAATAACAAAACGAAATCCATTCCACACCTGCACCAACTCTTGCTTACAGTGCGAAATGAGATCCTATAATTATACGGAACCATATGTTTTGTAAGCAGGTGCTGTAAGCAGGGGGCGATATGAAAACGGACTTTAGCCGACCATTTGACCAATTAAATGCGTTATTTACTTGAGCCAATTCAAGCTAATTTAAGATCATTATTCATATTTATCTTTGACAATATACAAATTCCTTCAATTTTTGGATGCAGGGGAATCATCAAGAGCTTGCAGTTTACCGAAGCAAACAAAAATTGTAATTGTTGGAGCAGGTGCAGCTGGTGTTGCTGCTGCCTCGAGGTTGTTACAGAAAGGAGTAAACGATTTTGTAATATTGGAGGCCAATGATAGGATCGGTGGCAGAATAAATACCAAAGACTTTGGTAAATAATAACATCCCAAATTAATCTTGGACAAATAAAATAATTTAATTTTTCATTTTATCTTTGATATTGAAATATAATAGTTTCAATTTTCAATCTTACATTTTTTGAACTAGATACTTAAATCTTTAATGTAAGCATTTTAATATTCCCAGGTGAAAATGTGGTAGATCTTGGTGCAGAGTGGGTCCATGGAGAATCTGGAAATGTAGTGTTCCAGCTTGCTTCTAAACATAATCTACTGAATTCATCCGCTTTTCTACTCGATTTTAGTAAACATGAAGTTGTCACCATTAATGGTGAAATAATGCCCAACGAGGAAAGTACCAAGGCTTTAAAGCTTTATTTTAATATTATGGATAAAATGGAACAGGAAGAATTAAAAAACGAAACAGGATCTTTAGGAGATTACTTTATAAAACAGTAAGTTTTTGTTTTTTTCAGCATTAAGAATATATTTTCATTTATACCTATACTATATACAGGATGTCTTAGAATGATCGAAAAATATTTTGTATGTAGGTAGAGAAGACTATATACAAAAAAAAAAACAAAAGAAACGGTAGAGCATATGCCACACACTAGATCTTATCAGTGAAATATAATTAATGTATTCGTGTATAGAATAAAAGGAAA